ACAGTCCAGGGGTGTTTGCTAGCAGTTGTCCGTGCCTGACCCAGAAAGGGTACGGACAGCGCTCTTCAGCCTGGAGGAAGAGGTGAGGGCGCTCAGTGTCTGGGGAAAACACCACAGAAGTAGGTCTGTCTTGGTTTGGCTTTATGTGCTGTGTTCCCAGACAATTCGGATCCAAACTACATTCTCCTCAGCATTCAGGGAGCTGACTGTCACATTTTTAAATGATCTCTGTAGAATTTTCTTAAATAAGGTTTTTGTTTGTTTGTTTGTTTGTTTTCCAGTACTGGGAATCGAACTCACGACCTTGCGCTTGCCAGGCAGGCGCTGTGCCCCTGAGCTAAATCCCCACGCCCCTTAAATAAGCTTTTGAATTCTTTCATATTAAAAAAGTCAGCGTCTTCATCTGGTCCTTTAGTGATATGAAAAATATCTCAAATTTCCTGGTGCCGGTGAAGTTGGGTATAAACAATGTTTAAAGGAGACATGTCGGGGCTGGGGATTTAGCTCAGCGGCAAAGCGTCTGCCTGGCAAGCGCAAGGTCATGAATTCGGTTCCCGGTACGGGAGAAAAAAAAAAAAAAAAAAAAAAAAGGGGGGCGGTCACGTCATTGCTACTTGCACACTTCTTTCTCACACAGCAGAAGCAAGTCCTGGCTGGAAGTTTATGGTCTGCAGTTGGTTTTTAGACACCAACAACAATAAAAACAACCCAGGCTGTTAAGATTGTCATCATTTCAGACATGGGACTTTTTTCTTTTCTTTTTTGAAGGGGGATAGGATCTTGCTGTGTATTTACACTGGCCTTGTACTCACTGTGTAGCCCAGGCTGTCCTCAAGCTCACAGTGATCCTCCTGCCTCAGCCTCCCCAGTGTTGGGATTACAGGTGTGCGCTACCATGCCCACCTGGCATGGAGATTTTAAAGATGGTCCTCCTGATAAACTTGGCAAGAATTTCATCCATCTCTTTGGCACAGCCCATATCTTCAAAGTCACCAATGTTATTACGTTTTTAAAAAGAATCTTCTACCAAAAACACAACACTGTAAAAAAAAAAAAAAAAAAAAAACCCAAACCTCAGCCTCCTTAATTTGAAACCATTTTTTCTCAGTGGTCGATATAACATATGTACCAGGCCCATGCTTCTTAACAAGTTATCTTGGGAGGGTCTCCTTGTGCTCAGGCCTCTAAACTGTAATATGCCGAATTCCAGCCAGGTCCTTCTCTCTGGCGCCCTCTGCCACCCTTTATCACAATGCACACAGAAGTGATTATCTGGTAACTTTCCAGTGTCTTTCACTGAATTGCAGGCTCAGGGAAGAGGCCATTCTATTTAGCTCATCACCGAATACCCTATGCCCTGTGTTTGAACTGGCTGCTCAATCAATATTTGCTAGGTCCATGAATCATACCATTCTTTTATAAGTGAAGCAACTCAGGAGAAATATAAATTATGGTGAGAAACTACCATATATTTCACTGGACAACAGGCTTAGTTAAGCCCGGCTTATTTCTGAGCTGGTGTTGTGCTACCCTGGTATTGTGATCGCTATCCTTTTGGACTACAATAAGTTTGAGCACTCTTTAGGGTCGGTTTCTGTAGCAATCATTTAAATTAACCACTACATTTAATTTGCTGGGGGAGGAGATACTGGCAGGGGAAAAAAGCCAAAAGAAGGTAAAGAGGTACTCCAAAACAAAGATAATGTCCTTATTACTACACAATGCTCTATGAGCCTAATAAGAAAAATAATTTTGTTCAATAATAACAGTTATTATCCACATCGTGGGGCTTTATTTTATTGTTTAATTTTCAGTCTGGTTTTTGCAGTGGGGAGGGGCCGGCACTAGGTTATCGGTGCTTTCTTTCCCAATTTCCTTGAGAGGTTTGGCACACACACATCTGGGAGGCAACAGTTCCCAGGTGGATGGAATGTGAGTCAGCAACACCTACGAGAACTGGGCGCCACTCTTGGCTTCTGCCACTTCATCAACAAATATTTATTAACTACCACTTCTGGGGCCAGGCGTTATCCGAAGTGCTGAGAATATAGTAGCGAATAAAATAGAGATTTTATTCTAATTGAGGAAAATACACAGTACACATAATAAAGAATTAAGTTATATACTTTCAAAGGCAATCCATGGAGTAGAAAAGAAAAGCCGCGGTGATGGGCATGAAGAGTATGAGTGGGCAAGGTGGGGGTGGCAATTCCAAATGGGGAAAATCAACATGGGCCTCATAGAAAAGTGACATCGAGCAAAGACTTGAAAGTGGTTGAGGAATGTGTTTTTGTCGGTATCTGGAAGAAGAGAAGCCAGCAGATAGAGACCCTGGGGAAAGAGCATGGCCAGCACATTTGGAGAACAGCAAGGAAGCCATTGTAGCTCAAGGAGCGAGGAGAAGGAGGTGAGATTAGCAGACGATGAAGGCTCAGAGGACCTTTCACTGTAGGTGGAACGGGAGCCCCTGGGAGACTGTGGGCATTGGACTCATGTTTGAAAGTCTGCCCGCCATGCTGAGGATGAAGGATTTCTAGGAATTGTGGCAGAGGTGACCAGGAGAACTCTGACATCTACTCTTCTCCCACAGTAGGCACTTATCAGTGGATGCAGGTGGTCAGCCAGAGGCCACAGTCTGTCCCTTTCTGCCCACAAGGGTGACCAGATGACTAGAAGATGGCACAGCAGCCACTTAGTAACCCTGTGGTGGAATTTGCTTCACAGCCCTGGACCTAACCCATACTGTTAAATAAGAAAGAAACTTCTTATTTTTTAAGCTACTGAGGGGCCTGGGATATAGCTTAGTGGCACAAGCATCTGCTTAGCAGGTGCAAGGTCCTGAGTTTGATTCCCGGTACTCCACCCCCAAAACAAAAAACTGCTGAGATTTGAGGGTACTTTTGTTGTAGAAATCTAGCCTGTTCTGTCTTAGACAAAGGTCAAGAGCAAAATCAAGACTTCTACAGAGGCTATTGCAGTACACCAGGAATGAGATAAGGGTATAGGGGTGGCTTGGACCAATGGGATAGCCATGGAGGTGGCTCAAAATTAAAAGATGTTGAATATATTTTAAAAATAGACGGTACTGGAGAAAAACCAAAAAAAAATAAATAAAGATAAAAATAAAAATAGAGAGTACAGAATTTGAAGATAGACTGGCTGTGGGACATACACAAAAAAGGAGACTTATTTGCCCTCATGGTTTGGCTGTGGGACATACACAAAAAAGGAGACTTATTTGCCCTCATCGTTTTTGTTCTAATACTTTATAAAGTTAGGGGAGTAAGGCGATGGAACAGGTTTAAAGAGACATACTTAACACTGAATTTAGAGTGTGTTAGGTCCGACATGTTATTAGGTTCCAGGCGAAGGTGTTGAAGAGCTATGTAGATATGTAAGTTTGAAGCTCCTGGAGATGCCTTCCCAGGGATATTAATTGGAGCAGAAATTGTATTTCGTTCATATGTCTAGATGAGACCACCATGGGAGCAGTTACTGAAGATTTTAAGAGACTTAGTCCTGGGGGATTTCATCTTTAGAAGTTTGGGGAGAGAGAGAAATCATCAAAAGTGACACAGGAGGAGTAGCTAGCGAGAAAGGAAGATACCAGGAAAGTGTGGTGTGCTGGCGAACACGAGCCTACAGCATTGAGAGTGCAGAGCTGTGCTGTTCACCAGGCCTCAGAGCTGGGTGGAGGAGTAGGATGGTTCCTTGCTTCTCAGCAGCAGGAGCAGAACTCCTGAGAGACGTATCCTGGACAGGTTAGAGTGACAGCACCTCCAGGTCTAACACTGCGGAAGGGTACACTGGAGGGCTCTGCGGCAGGCTGGAAATATTGAGATTCTACTTACTGAAAGGGAGAAGACAGACACATTTTTTTGAGTCACAGCGATAATCTGTCAGTTCTGCTTTAGAGAAAGAAGTGGTAGCAGGGAGGAGAGTGGATTTTGGGGGTGAAAATGAGAATTTTATAGATATTTACAAGGCCAATAAACCACCCTGGAGATGAGTGAGTCATCTCAGGTGCCTTCGGGTCAATACCACAGTGACTTCAATCAAGCTGGGATTAAGGGGTTGACTGTGAGTACAGTCTTCCCTCCAGACCTGATCCTTCACCTGTGCCCTCCAGGTCAGCAAGTGACAAAGTCATCTGCTCAGCTGCTGCGGCCAAAACATATTGCTTATCTTTAACGCCTCCCTCCTTCACCCCGCATCAATCACTTAACGGTTGGTAAAGATTTGGGCCTCCTAAATACCTGCAAATTTGTTTACTCACTCTCTTTTCCTGCTCTGCCACCACCCTCTCACCTGAGTCTCTCCGTACCCTGCAGACCTCTTCCAAAAGGCCCCCAAAGCTGCGCTCTATCTACAGACCACGCCTGCCGCAGAGGGTGCTTTTGGAAAAAGAAACTTCACTTAGCAACATGTAACTCAGCAGTTCTACAACCTGGGGTGAAAAGGACATGCCCTTTCTGCTCTAGAATGTTGTTCATTGTGTCAACTTGAGAAGTTTAGAAATTTAACTGAGTGATTCAGTAGGGGGCCCGGTCCTCACTTTGTAAACATCTTAGCCTGTGCAAGAGGAGGGCATGGAGATGATTGGGTCTAAGAGACTCTCTCCCTCCTAAGGCTGGTAGCCTGCATACAATAAAGGGGAAATGAGGAAGGACTGATTGCTGGTTCTTTGGAGAAGCTTCAGTCTTCGTCTTCAGCTTGGACATCATCTCCTGGCTTCTGGCACAGACTGTTCAGCTTCCACCTGGGATTCTGCAGCCTTCCGGTGTAGACTCTTCAGGCTTCTGTAGCAGACCCATCAGCTTCCTGATACGGACTTGCAGGGTACACTGCAGTGAGCTCCAGACCTTGGACTGGACCCTTCAGGCTCCAGCATGCAGAAAACTTCTGCACGCTTCCTCATCTGACTCTATGGCTGACCATTGTAATCCAATTTTGTAATTTCTTATACAATTCTATATCTTATATTATATCTGTTTTTCTAGTTAACCCTGACTGGTACAAGATTCTACATGATCTGGTAGCTATACCCCTCATCATCTGGATATAAACACTCACTGAATAAATGGAGTGATGAATCAGTGAAGGAATAGAGACAAAGCCTCACTTTGAGCAAGTCGCTTTGTTATGGCTTAGATCTAGAATGTCCCCTTCAAAGTCTCATGAGTTTACAGGTGGGACTTTTAGGAGGTGATTGGATCAGGGGTACTATAACCATCAGTGAAGTAACACAGGGATGAATCCATAGCTGAATATGTGGTCAGGAGGTGAAGTCTGTTCAGAAAATGTGGTTCACGAGGGTGTTACCTGGAAAGGTCTATCTCCCTCCCCACTCCTCTTTCTCTCTGTCATGCCCATCACAACTTGAGCGGGCTCTCCTCTACTGTACCTTCTGCCAGCCATGTATGCCGTGGACTGAACCCTCTGAACCTGTGAGCCCAAATAATCCTCTCCTCCTTCAAACTGTGAGTGTTGGGTATTTTATACCAGCAGCAAAAAATGTGACAAAGACGCACTTAAATATTTAAATTTTCTAAGCCTCGGCTTCCTCATTTATAAAATGAGAAAAATGTTTCCCTCACTGGAATGCTGCTAAGCTAATATGACGCTACATTAATAAAGTGTGCTTAGCATTGCATGATACATTTGATCATTGTAAATGAGCCAAATCAGCACTTAGCACAGCACCTGATAAATGTACCAAACGCACACTGCTTCATAATAAATCAGTACTTTGGGATTCTAACTATCTTAGGTGACTTTTTATTTCTATGAATTTTCGTTCTACTTCATTTGATACTGAACAGACAGCTGCTCATAATTTATTTTAGCATCCTATTGCTGCTCAAAAAAAAATTGTCCTTGTTTCCCAGGCCTGTGAAATCAAGTTCAAGTTCTTCAGCTTGGCATTCACTGTTCCCATAACTGTTCACAGTTTGCAGTTAAAATATATCTGATGCTCCTGAGAAATTAATTGCCAACAAAATTTAGAGGATTTCTACACAATTCCAGGATCTGTATTAGGTGCTAGATGTTTACATTTAACTATTTGTACCTTGTATGATGTAGTTTCAGTAATCAAGTGCAATTGCATTTAAAGAAACTGAGTCCACGAAGGTCAAAATATGATGAAAGAGGATGTTCACGCTTAGTGCAGGGCTCTGAAAGGATGCTAACAGGAGTCATGGCCCGTGGCAGTCCTGGGGGGCTGCTCAGATCTGCTTTCAAGAGCACCTGCTGCAGGAAACAGTGTTCATTGACCATCCCCAGCTGCCCCAGCATTGGATTCAGCACAGTGTCATGGGGTATCTGCTGCACTGCACTCAGCGGGCTACTGGAGGAGAATGGGGTGAAGGCTCCCCTCCCGCCTTCTTCTTGCCTGCTTCTCTCCTTGCCCAGGCTTGGACCTGAGTCAGGTTGAAGTGGGAATAACCTTCATACACCTACTTATGGGATTTAATGAGTTGACAACTGTGCAACCTAGATTTGCTACTATGGAGTGGAAAGTCTTCTGTTTCTCTAGCACTGGCACGGCTCTTCCCACATGTGTCACAGATGAGACCAGACAGGGTGGGGTTAGGGTGTGAGCAGAGGACACAGCTGCTCTTCCCTCTTTTAAACACTGACGAAGGGGTAATAAAGAGTGGAAGTCTATTCTGCTTGGTGACAGCTCTGAAGCCTTCTTCTTGCCCTCTTGCCCCACAGCTGAGCAAGCCAGTAAAAAAGCCCAGAATACCACCTTTGCAGGACCTAAGTCCACACATGCATCCCACGCAGGCTCCCTTGGCCCAGCCCCACCCTCTAGCCATGATAAAAGCCAAAGGCAGTCTCCCCTCCTAGCGCTCTCATAAGCCGTCTGAAGACCCGCTTCAGAGCCTGTGCAGCTCAGCCCAGGAAGCCATGAGAACTAGATTCTTCCATACCTTCCCGCTGTGTGTGTCCGTGGGACACCAGCACCAGTGGCGGTGGGGGGGGGTATCTAACTTCAACAGGGTGACGGGCAGATAGGTGTGAGACAGGGGAGGACAGAAAGCTGCTCTTTCAACTTTCCATATCCTTAGTTGCAGAATATGAATTCCTGGAGTGCATTGTAAAATCTCTTCCTTGTCTCTAACCCTAAGTTAAGACATGTACATTCTACACTAATTTTAAGTCAGGATCCTGCACTATCCTAAGGTAAAATTCTTAAAATAGTAAGGGCAAGCAAGGCATGGTGGCTTGTGTCTATAATCCCAGCACTCTGGGGGGCAGAGGTGGAGGGTCACAAATTTGAGCCCAGCCTGGGCAATTAGGAGACTTAGCATGACCCTATCTCAAATTTAAAAAGAAAAAAAAAGTTTAGTTTTTGGTTGCGGGGTTCTTGGTTTCACCCCTTGGTTTTCCAGGGAATTTAAAAAAAAAGAAAAAAGTTAGAAGAGCATTTCCCCTCCAAGAATGTAAAAATTTAGCATTCTCATATATATATGAGAATATATATATATATTTTTAAGAAACGGAAGTCCATAGAATCCTATTTCTTCAAGGAACAAATGAAGAGTGAAAAGCTAGGAAAGAAATATGCCGTCACACTGTAAGGAAGAAGAGGTAAGACACTGAGACAGAGGAGTCTGCCGCTGTCCTCAGGCTTTCTCACATCAGGCCCTGCCTGTGTTCTACATTCACTGAGTGCACACAATAATCCATGGGCTAGAGAGTCCAACTTCTGCTCGACAGATGGGGAAAGTTTACTTTACTTTACCTGAGCGGGTTAAATAAATTACCTGTGTGGGACAGAGTCTAGGCCCCTTCACCTCTTCCACTGTTTCTTAGAAGCTAACCCTCTGTGTAAGCGCCTCTCCTTGAATTTAGATGGGCCCAGGACTTGCTTCCGTCCAGGTGAATATGGCGAAGATGATGGGTGCCATTCCTGTGATGACATTATGTCATCCAAGACTCCATCTTGCTGGACTCCTTGCTGGCTGGCTGGAGGAAGTACTGTGTGGGAAAGGTGACCAGGACTGCAGCAGCCTCTAGGAACTGCAGGGGGCTTGTAGGAATGCCAGACAGCCTCTGATTGCTGAGGACAGGACCCTCAGCCCTACAGCTACAAGCAGATGGATTCTGCTAAGCACGTGAGTAAGCTTAGAAGGGGCTTCTCCTCCAGCTGAGCCTCCAGCTGAAAGCACAGTTTGCCTGGCATCTTGATGGCAGACTGGTAAGACTCGAAGCAGAGGACTCAGCTGAGCCGGGCCCAAACTAACCCAAAGACACTCTGGAGTAATAAATTGTGTTGTTTTGGGCCAATAAGTCCGTGAAAATTTGTCAAAGAGCAACTACTCAGCTCCCAGAAGGTTTTTAGCATCTTCTAATTTTAATTTTTTAATGATTTAACAATTCTACACCACAGCCAACAAAGAGTTGAAAAGGACATTGCTGTGGAATCTTGTGAGCCGACTAAAGCATTTTGGTTTGGTTGCCCTCACAGCCTGCTTGAGAGTTGGTTGTTGAGAGCATACAAGCACCGTGATATGCTTTAGTGCACACACAGGATCACTGACATACTAGGACTTAATAGTATCCTAATTGTGGGGCCGGGAATGTAGCTCAGCAGAATCACACCTGCCTCACAAGCAGGAAGTCCCAAGTTCAATTTCCGGTACCAAAAACAAAAACAAAAATATCCTAATGGTCTATTTTCTTTCCATTCATACACTGCAACTAGCTGTGACATTTCTCCAATTGGTAGAGTCAGTTTGATTTTATTTCTTTATATTTATTTCTATATTGCTAAAATTCTACCAGTCAACATCTTTTACAAGGAATCCTGTGGAATTTCTCAATATCCTCCACAAGACTACTTATTTATACCATTGTGATATTCTTGCCTTTTTTCTTCTTTGACACAGGGTTTCACTATGTAGTCCAGGCTGGCCTTGAACTCATGATTGTCATGTCTCAGCCTCCCAAGTGCCGGGATTCCAGGCATGTAATATTGTAATATTATACGCTCAACTTGTAACATTCTTGTGTCATAGTTACTTTCCCATCCCTGAGATATAATAGTACCTGACACCCACAACTTAAAAGAAGAAGGGTTTCTTTTTGCTCTTTATTTCAGTCCGTTGTCAGCTTCTTTAAGGCAGAAACAGGATGGCAGAGAGACATGGTGCAGGCAAAGATGCTCAACCCACAGCAGCCGGGAAGCAGAAAGGGATGGGGACAAGCACGGACAAGAATATGCCATCAGGTCACACCTCCAGTGACCCACCTCCAAGTAGGCTCCACCTATCAACAGAAAATTCACATAGGAACTCATCAACAGATAGATCCACGCATGAGTATAGCGCCCCCGAGATCCAGCCTCCAGACACATGAGGCTCTTCTGGGACATTTTTGATCTATACCATAACACCTTTTAACATGTCACATTATTCTAAAGCAGTGCCATACCCTTGTAATTAAATGCCACCAACTATCCAGGTACATTTCTGCCATTATTTTCTCCTGTCTTCATAAGCCTTTGCAAGCCTCTGGCACATTAAGAGTACTATATTTCATAAGTGGATGTTGAGCGCACCAATTACACACTTGCCATGTTAATAAGGATGGGTCAAACAAATGATGCTCTACAAGGCAAGCCACACTCAGAATATCTATGTTACTACTTTGTTCCACAAGGTGAAGCCTGAGGCTTTGAATGGGTAACAAGTTCCCTGGAAACAGTAAGGCTGCCTGGTCCAGGGACTGCACTTTGAAAATACAGTCCCCTGAGATATTTAGAGATGTTGATTAACCTCAACAATTACATTGGTTTCACCCTAAGATTGGGAATTTAGTTAATTTGTGTGACCTTAAGCTTTCAATAAATATATGTAATCCTTGCCTTGGGGACTTGTGATGAAAGAAATGACCCCATTCCTAAGGTACAGCCTCCATGTAGCAGATGTCAAATTGCGTTTCTTACTCATATTGTATGCTACAGTTATTATTTTAGCAAAAAATGAGTAGTGTAACTTCACCATATGCTACTCACTAATGAGGAGGATTGAAAATACTATCCAAAGGGACTTACCATGGCAACTACCAGAAGTATCTCACTGGAAAGCTGGAAGCCCTACAAAATGCTG